GAAAAGAAAAGAAAAGGGGGGGGGGGGGGTACGTGTTCGGCGGTGAGCACAGGATTTTGGAGGGGTGCACTCACGCTAACCAGTCTTGCACGCAGGGAGAAGGGCAATCGAGGGAGAGGTAGGCGTGGGTCATGGTCAACAATACCTAGTGAGATGCCAAAATACCAGGTGCCCTTGGTTCCAAGCGATGAACGCGCGAACCGCGAAATATGAAGGTAGGCGGAAAGCTGTCAGTTTGACGCCTGTTCTTCTACCAGAATTGCTAAATAGAGGAGATACGAACTTGAGTAGAACATCGGGATCAGAAAGAACACAAGTACAAAAGATGCAACTTCGGCAAGTGAAACATGTAGTTGTCCGGGTTCCACACCGTCCGTCCATGCGGTCTGAACAGAGCATAGATAATGGGCTGTCGGATCGGTTAAATGGTCACGGCCACCACTTCTCTCTGATGCGCATGTCTTCCTTCTCTCGCTCTCGTCCTCACCGTCATGCAGCCGACGGTGGTCATGTACACCAGGTCGGCGATAAGGTCGATGATCCTAGCCAGCTCGCGGACCTCCCGGACGCAGATGGCGGCAATGTGGCAGATGCACGATAGAACCTGCAGGGCATTGTTGAACCGCTGCAAGAGGAGTTCAGCAGCGATCGTTGGAGGGCGTCGAGCGAGATAGTGGAGTGAGGAGAGTTGCTGGTGCACGAAGAGAGGAGAATTGGGGAACGTCTTCGCGAGTCTTCAGGACAACAAGACGGAATGAGCAACAAGTGACATACACAGCAACAGAGAACCAAGGAATTAGCAAGCATCTCCGAACGTCCGAAAACACGCCTCGTTGCACGCCCATCACCCCAAGCAGCGCGATGCACACTTGGTGTAAAACAGCGTATTTAACGGAGGGACTGTCGTCTGTCTACCCATTGGCCCGGTCGTGCAAAAGGATGTACCATGGTATTCGATAGCGTGTAGATTTGGAAAAAAAACGGAAACAGATGTTGAAAAAACGTGGAAGGTAGTGCTCACACCCCTCCCGTCGTGAGACAAGCGGTGGTCAAGGTCGGGAGGGGGCAAGATACCCATCCACACTACAGACTAGTGCTTCGAAATGCGCTCTACTGCTGCTGTCCAAATCCATGTCACCTGAAGCCTATATTCACACCGTTTCGGACGAAACGATTGGGTCCCGTTTTCATTTTGCACGATTTTTTTTAGGTGTTTTACTAAACACCCTCCATGCGTGTGCATGTGCTTGCGCTTGTGAACTCGACACTACTAACACCAGCACGAAAGGAAGAGCGTGAGGAACAAGAGGCTATTAACAGACACAGTAGAGGTCCCTGTTTGGTGCCGGGGGGTGCGCCGAAATTTCACCGGCGCTAAACCGGACACCGACCGGCACTATCCAAAGTACAGAACGACTGGGTATTCCATTGTGTGCGAACCGAAAACACCGTATGGCACTATACCAGCAACCAACCGTATGTGGAAGAACGCGCAACAGACGGACGCAATCTACGAACTATATTGTGTGGCTACTATACTTGGTCTTGACGGCGTTCGTGAGTAGATGGATCCATGCACACGCACGCACGTGCACTCCTCCAACCCTCGCCTTGCGAGAACCCACGACCCTACCTCTCTGGTCCGCATAGGCATACGGCACGTAGCAGCACAAGTGGTGGCGAAAACGCACAGGTAGGCCAAGAAGGAGCGTACGGCACAGGGGCGAAAACATGGGAAGGCACAGCTCGCGAAAAACAGCAAGCTCCGTGAAAAAAAAAGCGCGTCGTTTGTGGTGCAGCAAACGAACCACCGGGAAGAAGGGGGGTGATCCGGTTGGCGCAGCAAAACCCGAAGATGCACGCGTGGACGACAGGATAAAAACTCACTATAATTCGGTTGTCCCATGGGTCTGGTTGGACCCCGAACTTGTCCATGAGGTACATCCTGCGGAGGCGAACACAAACATCGGCAGGAGTCAAAAGGAAGAGGAGGAGGTGAGGGCAAGCAAGCATGCGGCTAAAGCTTTCCAAGGGAGCCAAAACACACGATTGGCACAGCAGCGCCAAATCGACGATTTTCGGCTGCAGACCCCCGATTCCCAGATCAAGCAGTATCTCGACTTGCGCGTGAATGCTCGGATACTCTAGCACTTTCGGGACGGGGGGGGTCGGCAGAGGATAACAGCAACAGTGCACACACCCGCTGGTTGGGGGGGGGCTCCGGGGACACATAGAGGTCCTTACGGGAAGTAGGCTCGTTTCAGCGATAACGCAAGGCAACACCCACGGGTGAGCAGGTAGGAGCAGGCGGCAGGGGAACGACCCAAGTCGAGATTGCCGTCCAAACAAGCGACAAAGAAACACACGTGGGGGTTAAACAAATTGTTCCTGCCAACGTGATGGTAGTTGGCTTGCTCTGTCCAGCAGATGGGAGGCCAGCCTGGAGCCAAGCTTCCCCTCTTAAAGCTACGCTCGAAGCACCATCGTTGGTGCCGTTTACCTGCTGGAGCTCACAGCGCAACTGGTGCACGCGAAGGACTCCATACACAAGCAGAAGCACGGACAGTCCCTCTCGCCACAGTCGCCCGGCTCGAAGCAGCACACTGCCCTCATTATCATCACCGA